GGGAGGTTTTAAAACAGCTCAATAAATGGACTCCAAAAACATGAATTTATTGCCAAAAAAAGCCTGGTCGCCTTTTTTTAATTGTTTGTTTTTAAAAGCTTAAAAAGCCAAATGGAAGTGTAAGAACAGCTTTGAGTTTCCTCATCCGTACCTTCAGATCTCCTCTGTTGTCATCTGCTGGTCCCATTTCAGTTTTTTGAGCATCAAAAGTTGCTGGAATCTTTTTGTTTTCAGTCTGAAGGCCGACAATTAGGACAGAGTTTGCGTTCTTGGTTTTCAATGTGTATAAAGAAGTTTGAGATTGCTTTGAAGTTAATTATATTTTTTCCTGAGGATTTTCTGTTTGATGGACAGAATAAGACAGTGATGCAGCAGTTTGGTTTTTCTCAAACTGGAGACATAAAGCGTATTTTTTTCAGTGTGTCGTACTTTGTTCCGACATGCAAACATGCTTTGTTTAATTTACATCTAATTAAAATAATTATGTTCATTCCTAAAATAAGTTTACACTTCAGGTACTCTGCAGTTCCATTTTGAATTAAAATCGTTGTCATTTTAAACCGTCACATCATTCTGTGTCCAATAATCATCACACATTTTCTGGAGTTGATGACGGTAAGGACGTTGTTTTTCTCCAAACTGCTTCAAATCTCTATACTTTGAATATTGTACTATTAATGCCAATATTATTGTAATCCAGCGGCCTGGCACGGGTGCTTTGGAAAGTTTCAGTTCCTTTTAAGTTGCATTTGCTTTCTCTTTTCACAAATCTGTTTTGACTATTGCTTGGTAAAACTATTTTTATGCTCTTTGTACATAATTTTTCATTGATTCTGTTGAAAATTATCTTCTGTTTTTAGCATCTTTGTCTCTTTGGTTCTCAGTTCAGGCTCAGTGTTCAGCAGTTCGACTAAAAACCTCAGACTAGTTTGAAAAACAACAAAAAAAGATAAAATTACGGTTAAATTAATGAATGTGAGGTGCTCAGGTGCTGTGGCTGGAAAACGAGCCCAAAATATGACTTTTTTTGCCACCTTGTTTTGCAGCTTTGAGGTGTTTGTGCTGATGCAGTTTGAATTGTGTGAAATGTATCACTTTTCATTGTTTTCAGATAAAACTTTGAAACCTGAGCGATGCTGCCATGTTCTGTTTGGAGAAACCTTTCCTTCGCCCAGCCACGTAAAAAACAGCAACGTTTGTTTTATCTCCTCGGAAATTCAGGAGTTTAATTGATTTCTAATTGTTTTCTACTTATAAATAACTTTTTAACATCAGAGAGACATTATATAATTTGGAAATGGACTCACTTCAAAGATGTTGTGATTTCATTGAGTTACTCAGGTGGGTAGAGAACCTAAAACTTTTACTCAAGTAAAAGAAACTTTGATATATTTCTACTCAAGCAAACGTTAAAAGCACCTGTCCGAGAAAATACTACAGTAAAAAAGTAAAGTGAGTAACTGATCAAATTATCAATCGTTTAATATTTACTACATAATCAGACGGAGCAAAATATGAAGTTAAGGGGAAATTTTGGTATTTTAAGAACCAAAATGTCAATAATTTGTATGACTAACAAAAAATAACAAAGCCAGGCAAAAGAAAATTTTTCCGAATATAAAACTTATGAAACTTTAATAAAAACTGCAGGTTTGTGTCGTAATTTTTGGTTAAACCATGTTTGTTTTTCATTTAGTCAGTAGAAAATCCAGAAATTACTCAAATAAAAGTAGCAATACTTCATAATACAATTACTCAAGTAAAAGTAGAAAGTATAGCGTAGTAAAAATACTCCTAAATGTACATTTCTACAAGAACGTTACTCAAGTAAATGAAAGTAGTTACAACCCAACTCTGTATGTAATTAATAACTCTGAAGAATTTGAGTTAATCTGAGTTACAACAACATTTAATTTCCACTGGCAGATTATTTCAGTGACGGCATGGAAAAGATTTATTTTTTATTTCATTATTTCCACGTAAGTGAAATAATCTGCCAATTTAAGGATTTATTCACTTATAACGGCTCCTATTTTTGAAGAAAACTTACTTGCAAGTTAGTTTTTATCTTATTTTAAGTGTATTAAGATATTTATACTAGAAACTAAAATTACTCGGTTCATTTGTGTTTTTGATATCATGCTTTTATGCTAATATATGAATCTGAATAAACATAATGTATAAATATTACTCAGCAGAGCTCCTTTTTACTTTTCATTAATTAAAGCAGACTGATTTGTGAACATTGGTACAGTTTAATCAGAATGCATTGAACTGCTAAAGAAATAAATCCTCAGGTTGAAACCTTTTCAGTTTGAAAGTTTTGCAGAAGGACAACTTTCTGAGATAAATTAACAATGTAATAGGATTAGCCAGCGAGGTTTCATGTGAATAATTCAACACTTCCTGTCAGACCCTTTATGGTGCCTGGCTGTACAAATAATTAAACATTAACAGCATCTTTGGTTGTACAGGAAGGAGGAGTAAACCCTCAGAAAGGGGGAGATGTGCCAGTTAATGAAACAGGAATAAAGGTGCCGAGTTTGTCACCTTTAAGGGAAGCAGAGAAATAAGGAGCTTTGTGACAATTAAAAGCTTTAAGCCTCACCAGAAGCAACTAAATAAGGTTTGTTTCTTCGCCAGGACACTGAAATATGTGCAGATAAATAAGGAAGAAGTCTCTTCTCATCTGGAGTTTCCTGAAACCTTTCAGTACGGCTTTCTGAATGCGATGCAGAGAAAGTATCTATTTAAAAAAACACACCTTCAGGCTGTTTGCGCTGACTGTTTACATGTAAATACGATCCCGGTGCTGACATTGACACTCCACGCGCCTTTGTTCTACCCCGCAGCAGTTTTCACAATCTGAAGCTGCTAAATTTTGATATCTGCGAAACTGCAGGGTCAGATTAAGAGCTCATGTCGCCGGAGAAGCAAGAGCTGAAAAATCCTTTAAAACACTGAAACACACTGAGCCAAACAGAGCTGCTTTATTCAGTCGTATTTTAAAAAATAAAACCTGCAATTTACAAGAGATGCTGACTAGAGTTGGGTAGTAACTAGTTACATTTACCTGAGTAACTGTTTAGGAGTATTTCTACTACACTCTACTTTTTACTTCTACTTGAGTAATTTTACTTTGAAGTATTTCTACTCTTGAGTAAAATTTCTGGATTTTCTACCCATTGAATGAAAAACAATCATGTTTTGAGCAGAAATTCAGTCACAGATGCACACCTACAGTTAAAGTTTAATAAGATTTTGATCAAAAGAAACTGATTTGGAAATAAAATCCTGATTTTGTTACTTATGAATTTTTATTTTGGTCCTTAAAATACCATAATTTCCACTGAACTTCATATTTTGGTCCATCTGATTATGTAATTTTTAAATATTGAATGATTGACTTTTTCTACTCTTGAGTAATTTTTTGGATTTTTACTTTTACTCGAGTAAAAAATGTTGAAGTAGTGCCACTATTACTGGAGTATAATTTCTAGAAAGGAAAAACAAACATGTTTTCCCCAAAAATTCACCAGACACAGACCTGCAGTTTTTGTTAAAGTTTCATAAGTTTTTTTATTGAAAGAAACTGATTTGGAAACATTTTCTCTTGCGTGATTTTGTTACTTTTTGTTATTTATATGAATTATTGTCATTTTGGTCCTTAAAATTTAAAAATTTCCACTCTATTTTACATTTGGTTACATAAAAATCCTCCCAGGCTGTTGGATAGGACTTTGACGAGAACGTGTGAGACGTTCTCCGTCGGTTCGCTTCCTGAACCAGCTCCGGATGAGTCCGGCGCCGTCCAATCACAGGCCCGGATCAGTGGCCTTGTTACCGCAACGTAAAAGGTCAACCATGTAAGCTAGCACACCGCGCGCTAACGTCGTCTGCAGCCGCGAGGTCGCGACCATCCATCAGGGTGTGTGTGGAGTCCTGTTGGATGTCAGAGTGAAGTCCGACCCGCTCACTTCCCACCAGCCTGACTTTCTCTTTTTTTTCCTTAAATGCTCCTAAAAGCAAAAGTGTTTCCCTTCGAAGGAAAGAAGTGACACACACTCTTAAAAGAGGGGAAAACGGAGAGAGGGAGCAGCAGCCGGCAGAGGGAGGTTAATAAATCAAGTCAAGGTTGCGGCCTTCCTTTTGTGACGATGACACATGTGAGCAGCGGCGTGAGAAGTCTGAGAGCAGAGGAGGGTCAGAAAAAACTAATTTTCATGTGTTGGAAATCACATGTGAGAGTCATGACAGATTACAGAAAAAAACCTTTTTAGATGGTTTAAGTTTTTTCTTTATTTGTAGAGCACATTTCAGCAGCAAGGCGGTTCAAGGTGATTTAAATAACATAAAGTAAAAAAGTTTTAAAGACAAAACCATGCAGTCAAAAATTAAACGCATTACAGTTTGATGATGTGTTATTAATGTTTCAGTTCAGAAGCAACTCTCAGCAGGTTTTTAGATTTAAAGAAACTCAGTGTTTCAGCTGTTTTGTAGTTTTCCGGAAGTTTGTTCCAGATTTGTGGTGCGCAGAACCTGAATGCTGCTTCTCCCTGTTTGGTTCTGCAGAACCAGAACCAGGGTTGCTATGACAACAGCAGATCTTTAAGCCATTCAGTGATTTATAAACTACCAGTATTTTAAAGTCTCTCAGTGGAAGGACTGTAGATCTGGGTGATGCTCTCCATCTGCCTAGTTTTAGTCAGAACAGCAGCAGCAGCAGCGTTCTGGATCAGCTACAGCTGGAGGACTGACTTTTTTAGGCAGACATGTTGCAGTAATCGATGCGACTAAAGATAAACGCATGGATGAGTTTCTCCAGATCTTACTGAGACATTAATTCTTTAATCCTGGAATCATGTGATATTCAAGTAATAATAAAAAAGCAGCCTAGTGGAAAATAAAATCCGCCACATCTTGCAGATGAGCACCATAAAAACTATGAGCAGAAGCTCCTGGATCTTTGTTTAATTATCCATTTGCTGATTATTTGTTTAAAAAGATGAATTTCTGTTTTACAGCTTCTTGAGTTGACAGTCTTATTTTGTCCATATTTGTTTTCTTGTCGACTTGCGTCACTTTCTGCTTCGTGGCAATAAATGTTTTGTGCAACTTTGGCATCGAACAAAAAATCTACTTCAGAACTAAACCTGCTTCATTTTACAGCTTAAAGAGTTAATTGGGAGGTTCATAAATAACAAACTTAAAATGGTACAAAGAAATAAAAACCCTGCAGGTTTTGTCTCACCACAGATGTTTGTAAAGTCCCTCTGTGTTGAGCTGGATGTGAAAGTGGAAGGAACTTACAATGTGTTCTTTCCTTCAGCGTTTAGTGGAGCAAATCCTCCGTCTGAATCCCAGGATCGGAGCCAAAAGGAGGAGGAGATCAGAAGAGATTAAAAAGAGCCGAACAGACAGCTGGAGAGATTTGAACAAAGTGAATGTTAGGAAGTCAGATATTGTATAATTAATCGCAGCTCTGTGTACGAGTCTCACATCATGAAACATTAGTGCACACACCAACAAACATCCACTTCCTGTTAGATAAGACGCACAGCGCGTCTGTCCGGCAGCGCTCCCATCTCTATTTCAGCTTCAAGGTTTGCTTTGCTCCACGGACAATTTAACAGCAATTTCAACAATCCAGTGATTAATAACGGCGACCAGGGACACGAGTCTGTGTGGGCTAAGAAAAGAGGAAGGCTTAGTCAAGGTTTTTGCTCATGAGGAATGACAATATCTTGTTTTGCTGGCTTAGCTGAGTTGCATTCATAACGCTGCAGAAACTGATGAATGCTCGGGGGGAGATTTTTACTTTATTACCTTACACTTTTAAAAATCTCACATTTCAGCTGATTTTTTTTTAAAATTCCAACTCGACTTATGGCGTTTGTTGAATTGACAAATTATCAACATGCTGAAAGAAAACAAAACAATCTGCCTAAATGGTGATACCGAGTTTTTATTAAACCCTAAAAAATGCTTAATTTACGTCTCCTGACAAATAATCACATTCAAACCAGCTGGTTTAACGGGAAATCTTAATGGGATCCAGGATTAGTTGAGCATATTGACCTAAATATGTTGTAGTTTTCCTATTAACTAAAAAAAAGGCTTTTTTATTAAAACTTATAATTACGTCAAAAATGTGTGCCTTTCATTATATTTTTTACCCATATAGGTCACAATTTTTTCACCAAGTAAACTAAGGAAGGTTAACTTTACCCGAGGTTTTGTTCAACATACCGCGTTTGACTGGTGTAATTTTAGATAATGCCACACTTTGTTGGCTGTAATAAAAAAAACAATAAAAAAGCAGTCAGGGGAATCTGGATGCTTCCCCCTGAAAAAGAAAGGACAGCGCAGTGCGAGAGAGCCAGAGCCGAACGCAACTTCCGAAGGAGCTAATCTGTGCCCTCAACATTTCTCTCCAGAAGATTTTGAGTCATTTGTACGAGCAAATCTAACGAAGGCTCTAACAGGTGATCATTACCATAACAAGCTAAAAATTAATATAGCTTTTATCCACAAAGCGTGTAAACTCCGCTGCTGCCGGAGCAAAAACGTTGAGAAGAACATCAGATAGACAGCAATGGAAGCTCTTTTAAATGCTAACTGAGCTCTGCGCCAGTAGTACCAGCGGCACTACTGCCAACCAGATACAGAGCTATTGAAGTTCTTACCAGATCACACAGTTTGACAAGAGGTAAATGTTTTTCATTGTTTCATTTATGAAGCTGAAGGCAGCAGCAGCAAAACAAGCTCCAACTCTGTCCTCTTCCTCCAGCTGGGCCTCCTCTTCATCACCTCTTGTGATTTGTTCATTCCGATCGATTTCAATGCGCAATTTGAAAAGGCTTAATGATGTTGTTGCTCATTGGTGTTTTGGCCGGATGAAGCCTCGTAGTTGGACTATTAGACGTCATTTACCCAGAATGCATTGCAGCGTGAACAACATGATGACATTCGTGACAATATTTTATAAAAATTTATAAAAACTGAGTAACCTACAGTATTATTACTGTGTTGTTTTAACAGCTAAAATAAATATTTCTCAAATAAAGTCTATTGTTACAACTAATCATGGTTTCTTTTAGATTTAAATGATCTAAATTTGA